GTTGATGTTTAGTGGTAATAAACCATAGAGAAAAGCAATGAAAGAATTGGAGAAAAGAGATTGGAAAGAGTTCAATTTCAATGGTTAATAAGTATCTGAATTACAAGAGAAAAAAAAAAAAAAAAAAGAAACCAATATAAATGAATTGACACAGCATTTTTTGTAAGAAGAAAAAAAAAAATTTTTTTTTATTGACAATTTAATTTATTCAACATTATACAACATTTGTACTATCAAATGTTTGCTGTTGTTCCATCGTTAATCGACAAGGAACCAACAACAACAACAGATCACAGCCAAAGAGATTTCTGGTGATGAACATATTTCTGATTGTTATATATATATATATTTTTTTTCTTACCTATTCATCAAAATTCATTCAAAATTATAGCCTATAAAACCAATTTGAATAAAACTTTATACATAATTAAAAAGAAAAAAAAAAAGTAATTTTTTTTTCCTCTACAGAAATAAATTTCAATACAATGTCTATTGAGCTTATTCCAAATTTTTCTTTTTTTTTTTTTCTTCTTTTCTTTTCAATTTGATAAAACGCCAAAAAACGGATGATACTTCCAACTGAATAAATTATAACTATTGGTCTGCAAATCAAAAAATTCTATCCATTTTTATACAGCAGTAAAATTCAAAGCAGTTTTTGGTAAAGTGGTAGCTGTTCAAGTATCGAAAAAAAAAAACTGATAAAAATTTGGCATTCAGAAGTGTTTAGTGGTTAATTCGTTTTTGTTAAAATTATACATTTAACCCATATCTATAGCTTCAATCTTATTTCTTCTTCCTCTTTAATTACTTCAAAATAACCAGCTTTTTTTCATCTTCTTTTTTTTTTTTCTTGTTCTTCTTCTTCCTCCTCTTCCATTTTTCCAAAGATTAATTGTAAAAAAAACTATGGAAGAATTGATGATGGAAAAGAAAAATTAATTTGGCTTGGAAATATTGTACATTGGTTATGTGCTATTCAGATGTTAAGGCAAATAAGTGTCACTGACGGCGATCACAGACTATAAGCTTCCCTTATAAATAGTTTTCACGTAAATGAACTTTCAATTCGAGATTTAAACATTGCTGTAATGGTATCATAATGATCGATTACTGCAAGCTTAAGCGCAGATCGAGCATGATTTAGTGGTGCCATCTGATGCCAAGCATTTGCCCTGATGTCGTAACATTCACAAAATTCAACTGTTCCACGATTCCACTGATCCTGCATAAAACCGCCGCAGACCATGACTCGCTTATCAAAGTATTCGATACCAAAATTTGACCTAAAAAACAATACAATGAAAAGTACAAAAATCTTTTAGACTTTAATTTATTTCTGTTAAAGCAGTATTTTTTTTTTCTACCAATTTATCTAATGAAACTGTTAATGATATGAACTTTCAAAATGAAAAAAGACTGTTGATACAACGCTTTAAGTGTTCTCTAGTTGGCCTCTTAGCAAACTAAGCGCTGTTAAATGAAACAACCTATTCAGTTTCATGCTTTGCATTGTATGCCATCGCCCTTCTCGCGGATCGAACAGTTCGCTGGTATTTTGTCTGATTAGGCCATCAAATCCACCACACACAAACAAAGCCCCATACAGCGTTACAACACCAACTCCTGACCTCTGTAATAGTTGCACTGATTAATGTCTTCCTTATTACTTTTTATCCTCTATTGGTGACACCCGTGATTTCAAATTTTCAAACAGCTTATAAAAGATTATTTTATGAGATAGTACCTTTCGTCTCATTGGTCGCATTGGTATCCATCTGTTGTACTCGTTTTCGTAACACTCTACAGTTTTGTAGCACTGAGTGCCATCAAAACCACCAACGGCGTATGCTATACCATTGATGATCGCACAACCACCATCACTTCTGTAAACCAGCTATCGAACCAACATTCAGTAAGCAGTAGGAATGCTGTGAAACTGTGTGATCCGAGGCACAGAGGCTGGTAGCAGAACTACAGAGTTAGCATTATTAGATCTCAATTATCAGTTTTATCATTAAGTACCGTCGTGTTTCCATATTTGCTGTCAGTTTCCACTGGTTAGCCGCAACATCAAATATTTCAGCTGATGTAAGCCGCGTAAAACCGTTGTAACCACCGATAGCAATAATATGACTTTTGTCTAGCAATCCACCCATTAAAAAACATCGACGGTTGTACATCCAAGCAGAATCTGAAGATTTCTGAAAAAAATATGCGCAGTTATCTGTTTTACTTTGAGCTTTTTAATAGGGAAACCAATAATAAATTTCATAAATTGCTGCATCAATTTTAACAGAAAAGTCAGCGCGGAACAGTTGTTACGTAGCTTCTGTAGCTGTTATCGCCACCTACAGGTAAAAACTGATGAAAGCTGCTCAGTTTTTAGAATAAATTATTCTTTAGCAATTTGCCGTTAACTAACTCTGGTTTCAAAATTGTATCTTCTAGTGGCGTTACGACTTTCAATTCCATCACTGCCTCCAACAAAATACATATCATCACCAACATTTACGGCACAATGGTACATATTTGGATGTTTCAAACGTGCATTTGCCACTACCCATTCTTGATTGTTCCTGTCGTAAGCTTCAATAACATCTGTTGGACCGTTTATGAAACCTCCTACAAAGTTTTATTTTTAAACTTTAGGTCTTTAAAATTGATTGTATAGGACGCAGCCCATAGATACTATATTTTGGTGATGACCATTCGCAAGAATATTTGAAATAAAAAATTATTAGCGTTGCACATTTTTAGAAGATATTGGATTATTACAAAGATCGGCTTCTAGAAACTGACTAAATAAGATTTAAAAACTTCTACTTAAAAGATTGTTAAAAATTTGGGCATTTTATTGAGTAGCATAAAAGGTGTTTGAAAGGATTGTAGGAATTGCAGAAGTAAAAACCTGTTGCTAGTAGGATGATATGAGGCAACGGTTCTCTGAGATTTTCACAGTATGCATCGTTGTAATTATGAAGCCAAACTTTTATTGAATCAGAGTTTTCACCTTCATCTGTCCCTGCTTTATTCTAAATTTGTTTTTTCCTTGCTATTAATGGACACTTAAAAATTCGTCTTCAAAGTCCTTGATTATTTAGGAATTGCAAATCGATATTTGGTCAAGCTTACTTTTTGCGCGACTTTTTGATTTGGAACGTATATAGCATTTTTAATGTTTTATAAGTAATACGGAATAAGAAACCGCTTAAAAATTACTCGATACGGATTGAGCAGAAAAAAAAAACCTGTAACCAGTCTCGTATAACTGTATTCACTTTTGTTCGTGTAAAATCTACCATTGGATCTTTGAGCAAATTGATCAGCTCATCTTCTTTTAACCTACAAATAAAAGTATTGTAAAATAGGAAAAATTTCTGAATTTTTTTTTACCAGTTACCTAGAAAAAATCTCAGTATGCTGTTGTTGCGGAATAAAGGGGTATAAGATTGGGAAACTTTATGTTTATTAAGCCCAGCAATTTTATTGCTGTATAATCATTTTTTCAACAGAGAAAAGAAACAGTTAATGCGACTCATAAATTACTGTTTTTTACGGTTTTGTCGTTTTAACATTATCAAATAAAGATTTTTGTTTGGAGAAAAATTATGAGAATTTATTTACTTGAAGAAGTTTCCTGTACTTTGCAATTCTTCGAAGTCTCGAATTAATCGCTTCCATACCACGTTTGCCAACGGTATATGTCGATCTTCTAAAAGCAGAAACATTGGCCATCCTTACAAAATCGACTACGCATGAAGGAATATTCCGTGTAACAACAGTTCTTTCTAATTTCTTATAGAAGTTTCGTAATTAAAACTGGTTGAAGCTTATTTTGATCTTAAATTTTAAAAAACGGTGTTCAGGCAGGTATCTAGTACAACAGTTTTTATTTCTTAAACAGACTAGCGAAACGGAAAACTTCGATGACAGTGTCCACAGTAATCAGTGATTCAATAAGGTTGGTTAGAAAGTCCAGAACTGGGTCGATCAGCAAGTAGGAAGCAACATCAAACATCTGAAAACCTAAAAGTTTTGTAAATGCATGATTTTGTTAATTATATTGGTCGATACTTTTTTTGACTGTTTATTAAGTACCATAAAAACTGTTCAGTCGTTTCATTATTTGTTTTTTTTTTTTCTACACCACATAATATTTTTACTTACTATCTTACCCAAGTAAAAATATTAGAAGAAAAGTTTATGCCAGAAAAAATAAGGATGTAAAATATTTTTTTTATCAGAAAAGACTTAAAAATGAATCATTTAGGTTAAACAGTTGTTGATTAGCTTAACAAATTCTAAGCCCAAAAAGTTGAACAGCAAAAAATGATTGTCATACCTGCATAGCTCTTTGTAAATTGATAACATATGCAGTTGGCACATATTTTTTTGTTAGTAATTTCACCAAAAGGTTATGGCATTGAAGGAAAACATCAAACTGAAATGCTGTATCAGTTTTTCATTTCTGTCACTAATAAGTACAAAAATTTATTGTAAACATTTTTTTATTATTATTATTTCTTCTCCAATACACCCGCAATCAACGGGAACAGTTTTTTAGCGGAAAAAAGTGTATTCAGCGTACCACTTTTTTCTATGTAAAATGGTCTATTAATAGTTTTTTAAATAGAATTTTTTAAAATTCTTGATTACTCCTGACTTCCTTCTTCACTTAACAATATATATTTTTTATTAGAGATTTTAGTCTTGAACAGAAATACTGTTGCCTAATTTTATGCTTAATAGTAATTGTCATAAACAGTGTTACAGTTAGTCATCTGGCTAAATACTTAGCAAAACTGTTACATATGGTAAGATAAATGTTGCAAAAAAAAGGTAGAATTGAGAAAGCAGAAATAATATAAGTTTTTTCATTTTTCTTCTTCTGATATATTGTTCAGAACAAATAATAGCTTTATAGGTTAGGCAAAAATTATGCTACACTGCATAATATCTGCTGTATTTTTTGTTGTGCACCTATAACTGTTTTCTGACAAACCGTTATAAATCTATAATTTAACAACAAACAAAAAAAAAAAACAATTCAATTTTCTTGTTCACTATTTTTGTTTTGCTAATATTTATCTGAGTTAAAAATTTCATACATCGATGTTTTCCAAATGTACCACTTGATGATCCGTACTATTACAGCTACCATAAAATGAGGCACGAAAAAATGGTGATACTGTGGCATAAATAATCTTTTTTATCGGTACCTAAAAAAGATATGAGTTTATCGTATCCATTAAATCAGCTATAATAGTTTTAAAACAAAGCAAAAAAGTTTTGTTCCTGCTTAAGTGGTCAAAATTTATATGATTGATGAGGTTTTCCTTTAGACATTATTCAAATAAAATTTATATTTATCATTTTTCACAAGCACTACTGTAATCTGAATCAAACAGGCAGTAACAACGACAAAAGTTTTCTTAAGTAAATTATCGCTTTATGTTTAAGTAGACAAAGTTAGCTTTTTTTATCTTTATCCAAAACATATTTACAATTGATAACCCAATCAGTATAACTTTTACAACTGTATCTAACAATGATCAATTGTAAACTAAAAATGCAGAAAAAAAAAAAAAACAACAGATTAAATTTGAAGCAATTTTTACTATTAAAAAAAATATCAGTTATGCACTAACCTCAGCTTGATCACTGAATTTGACCACAGCATCTGCACGAAAAAAATTTTCCATATCACCATTTGAAAGCCTTATTTGAAAATAATTTCTTTGCACTAATTCCAACTATAAACGTTCCATTAGCCTTGTTAGAATAAGAAAAAAAAAAAAAGAAAAAAAGAAGAAAGATCCAACTATATGATTAGACAAACTATAACAAGCTTTGGTTACTTTTTAATTTTACTACAACATATATCATAAGTTTTACAAAACAACCACAAAAAAAAAGACATTTCCAACAATCTTATCAAATTTACAGCAATTTTTTTTTTTTGATAAGACTGTTTACATGTCTTAAGAGTAGAAAAACATTACTTTAATCAAGCTCTGTTTTTTTTTTTTTTTTTGCTGATAACAAATATCAATTTATCATTTGTGTAACTGTATAAAGTAACAAACAACAAATGAAGCAAAAGAAATGGAAATTAGTTTAATAACAAAAAAAAAAGGAAGAAATAAGACTACCTTTTCTTCTATTTTATTTTCATATAAAATTTTAGTTAGATAACCAAAGGAAAAAAGATAGTTGTTTTCTTTTTCCCTATCTCTTTTTTTTTTTCTTTTTCTTTTTTTTGGTAGTTGTAATCGTAGTGCTGTAGTGATGCTGGTGAAAAAGGCGTCAAGAAACTCGAAGTTTCTGTTTCGCCAATATACTTCTGTGCACAACCGATTAAGATGGGTTAAGGTTTCAGAAATGTTTCCACGATGTTGTGCAAAAAAAATTACAACTTTAGAAAATATTTTTATCCACAAAAAAAGCGGCTGCTATTTGGTAAGCAGTAATTCGAAAAAAAAAAAAAATGGAAGAAATTCAGCTAAACTTCAAAACTATTTATATCAATTAATTGACAATATTTCTTAAAAATCTTTTTTTACAAAAAATTTCTAAAACTAAAGTTGCCATATTTTTATTTCAGTTTTTTCCCCCCATCAACATTCATAATTCTCGTTGTTCAGAAACTTTAGTCACTCGGTAATATTGCATATCCTCTTCGACAACACTCATAAATTCCTCAGTAATTGCTGCATCAATTATAAGTTGATTATTTTCAAAATTACATTGCCTCTTTTTTTTTTTTTT